AGCGCCACAAAAAGAAAAGAAAAAAAAAGCAAAGAAAAAAGAAGGCGAAACAAAACGAGAAACGGAGAAAGTCGTGTGCAACAAGAAGGATTCTCGGATTCTCTGGGTTGGACAGAAAGGGACGAGACGCGAGGGAAGAAAGAGGGTTTTCACAAATAAGTTGATAGAGCGGAGCGCGAACGCGGTTATGAATTAGTACGTCAGAGGCGATCGGGCCGATATCTATCCGGCCCGCACAATGGTTAGTAAAGCAAACGTAAAGCCGAATTGCCGACCGCACGAGTACGGTAAACCACAGTAGCATAATAACCGAGAGTAATGCGTGAATTATTGACTGTTTCCTATCTTCCTGCCAGGCCGACTCTCTCACTGCACGCCCCGGCGTTGGCTGCGTCGCTGCCTCGCGTGCACGCGTTCCCCACTCTGCAACCTTTGTCTGCTTTCCGTATTAAATGGTTTCGTACACGTAGATTAGCCTGGTGTCTACTGCACCAGCAGCACCGTACGTCACGCGTGCCACCAACCTTGTCCACGCGTGTACAAGCGTATAGGCGTACAAGGTGGATACGAAGCGCCAAGTATCGAGGTTACAACCAACTGGCAAGCGGATGATTTATAGGAAGAAAATTTCCTCCAGAAAAAACTTCGAGAAGATCGAGTCCCGTGAGTGTACGAGGTACGAGGAGTCAGGTACAGGTACTTGAGTTTGTAGAGGACTTGGACTGAATGGATGAGCGACTGATCGATGGCAAGTTATCGTTGCTGCAGGAACAAGTGAAAATCGCGGAATTGAATTTTCCCCGTTCAAGTTCGACTAGGTAGATTTTCAAATCCTAGGATCCCAGTCCAGAATTAGCTACGTTCAAGTCTAATCGATGTAGATTTAATAATGCTTATTTAATAACAGTGGATAATTAAACAAGGTAAAGGACACGGATTGACAACTTAGATAAACTCTTTCTAACTGTCAATCGACTCTGTTTCGCAACTGCTCTTTTAAAAAAAGGAAAACGTCGCGCTTCCACCACCACATTCGTACTTTCTTTCTTTTCATAACGTTCCTACGCAACTGAAAATGTAATAATTACAACTACAGGTTACAACTTAACGACGATCCGCGATAATGGCCTACGATATTGCTACGTTCTGTACTATTAATGAACCCTCAAGCTTGACTTTCTCTCAAACGAACGTCCTAAGCCTAACCTAACCTAAACCTAAACCTAACCTAACTTAAACCTTCTTTTTTCACGTGGAGGAAATCTTCATAAGACAGCTGAGTCTTTTAAGGGAAGACCCAGGTAGTGTCGGATTTTTACCGACTAAAACCTCCATCATGGCCGTCCTCGGCACGTTCGGAGACGGCTCCGGGACCTTTTTATACACACAGAGATCTCTCACGTGCTGTTGCTCTAAAGCACAATTTTTTTTTTTTTCGCTCGAACTCTGGACCCTCAGATTAAGAATCTGGTATTCTACCGACTGAGCTATCCTCACCTAACCTAACCTAAACCTAACCTAACCTAAACATAAGCATAAACCTAACCTAAACTTAACTTAACCTAAGACACACCTGAGTCTTCTAAGGGAAGATCCTACGTAGTGTCCGGATTTTTACCGACTAAAACTTCCACGATGGCCGTCTTCCGCACGTTAGGACCTTTTTATACGCACAGAGCTCTCTCTCGTGCTGTTGCTCTAAAGGACAATGTCTCTTTTTTTCGCCCGAACAGTGGCTCGAACCCTGGACCCTCAGATTAAGAGTCTGATACTCTACCGACT